TTATACCATATACAAAGTTTTGATTAATTTAAGGATGTTATGTACAATCTCACCAAAGAATAACTGAAAATCAATATTGACGAATATCCACTTTTAGTGTATTTTTAGTATGAGAAATTGCATGGAATTACAATTTGATCTTAGCTACACTGCAGAAATGTATTTTTTTATATTTATTGCGTTTTTACTGAAATATTCCGAATTTTAATCGAAATGATTAACTTTTGGCAGAGAATTTCGCCTTGTGACAGATACATGGCTAACTTCATTGAATCATATTTAATATCTTTTTAACCAGTTAGTACTTGTATAATATTATTTGATCAAATATTTCCTCTGTCTCTAAACTTTTGCAAATTTTAAACAAATTCTGAATATTATTTCCATGTGTTTTTGTCATTTAAATCGACGTGATTATAAGTTTCTCATAAGAACATATGTTAATTCGATGCAAATTAAAATCCTTATAACTTGTGAAGGCCTTAGTGAATCGATTTAAAAATTGTACTGAAGATTCTAAACATATGTAAGGACATTCTGTACAATTTTTATTAAATTCTCAATATTTTGAAAATAGGTACAAAACATCCTTAATGAAATATTCCGAATTTTGTTAATCGAAATCATTAACTTTTGGCAAAGAATTTCGCCTTGTGACAGACACATGGCTAACTTCATTGCATTATATTTAATATCTTTTTAACCAGTTAGTACTTGTATAATATTGTTTGACCAAATATTTCTTCTATATCTAAACTTTGCAAATTTTAAACAAATTTTGAATATTATTTCCATGTGTTTTTGAATCGACGTAGTTATACGTTTCCTATAAGAACACATTTTAATTCGGTGCAAATTAAAATCCTTATAACTTGTGAACGCCTTAGTGAATCGATTTAAAAATTGTATTGAAGATTTTAAACATATGTAAGGACATTCTATACAATTTTCATTAAATTCTCAATATTTTAAAAATAGGTGCAAAACATCCTTAAATTGAGAGTTAAGAATTTAAGAAAGCATATGCTTTATATAAATATTATGTAACGACTAGTTAGAAACCAAAGTCTAAATCTAATAGTTTCTTACTATAAATAGATTATTAAAGGAATTTATTTTAAAATATTTAATTATATGTTGTTATCAATTATTTCTCTTCTCATTCTTATTTTTATTTATTAATTTTGATACAAAAAGAAATCTTATATCCTATTATATAAACTTAATAATGTGTTCGAATAGAATTTTTAATGAGGAAATTTATTTAATGCAGTAATGTTATAAAATATAACGAATATAAACGAACAAATATAATAAAAAATGTATACGGGATGAAAAAATATTCGCGTAATATTTGCATAGTATAAATGTAGCATTTATTACATTTTGCAAAATTTAGTTTTGCAAAAAGCGGTCATATATATCATATTGCAACAAATTTCAATAAAAATTCCAAATGTACGTTTCACTTTAATTTGTTAGATTGATAATATCATAAATTAGAGTCTTTACATCGATTATTTCGACGCAATAATTAAATGAATATAATCGTTTTTCGTTTTTTAAAGTTGTAACGGATGCGCAAATAATTGCAAAATATCCAATGAACAATATAACAAGTATACATTTTAATCTGAAATTTAATTTAACAATTGTTTAACACAGGGTAGGTAAAATTATATCAATAATGTTAAGTAAATTATGAATTTTCATATTGATTGTACTACTTAATTCTTATAATTGAAGAAGTAATAAATGAGCAAATAAAAAACCAAAATTATTAATTATAGCATAAATTTTGGTACATTTAAATTTTATTTAAGCGAATTGTTTCAATTTGAGTCGTAATATTCGACATTGCTTTAAATTTATATTTAAAATATTTAAAATATATTTAAATATATTTAAATATATAAAATATATATAAAATATATTAAATATATATATAAAATATATTAAAATATGTTAAAAATATATTTAAAATCGCGGTAACATGCAAAGAGAGTAGATTAGCAGTTTAGAGTAACTTGTCTATCGGTCTTATTATTTTCAGAATAAGCGGTTTCTTTGATACACATTTTCAATTGCAAAAAATATATACATAAAGAAGGTACATATAAAGATTTTTTTCCTTCTTGTTTAGATTTCGTGAAATATTTTATTTGTATTAATTAAATAAAGTTGGAATGCGATTATTTAAATTTTGTGTGTAGGATACCACATTCGCCGTTCTAATAATACTTTCGAAGAACATCATCTCATTTTTTGCCCTAGTTAGCCGTTTTTTAATTAGTTAGTGTCTCATGTAATTACGTATACGATGCACGAGAAAAAAAGCTCATCGACGAAACATCGGATTACGTAGCTCTAATAAAATTTCCGATAACGCCAACTCCATCATGTGATTTTATTACCGGTCGAAAATGCCGGTGCTTAAAATAAAATTAAAATTGATATAAGAAGTTATTAATATTATTAAAACTTTAATTGGAAAGACTTCACATAATTAGTCGAAACTTTAGAATCGAAGGAGAAAATATTGTAGCAAACATTAAAATATATAAACAATGACCTAAGTAGCAACGTATATTATTATATATATAATAAATATGTAAAAATAATTTTGTTTAAATTTTCACTATCATAAATTATTCAATTTATATATATCTTATATAAAATTATATGTAATAAGAATAAAAAAATATAAATGTTAGTTTTTTTATTTATGTACTGTAGATCTGATTTGTGGAAAAATGTGCATTCCGCGAAGCAAGTACGCAAATTTTAGCAAATATTATATATCACAAAAATCATTTTAAATATACGATTTATTTTGCATATATTTGATTTTTTTACAGATATTTAATTTTTTTCTAATATCTGAAAAATATCATATTTATTTCGTTTTTTAACTAAACATTTTTTAAATGAAAAAGTCTGCTTCTGATCCCAAGTTATTCAAAATAACATTTATGTCGATCGATTCGCTATCACATAAAGGATTCGATATCGCCAAGAAGCCACAGTGATCCTTTCGCTCTTCTTTTCTTCTCTCATGGAAAGATGTATATTTCGCGTTAACCCAGAAACTCTGTTGGTTCGAGCTTTTTATAAGTCGATGAGCTTCCTGAGAACTCATCTGAAACTCGGATTTAGGCGGCTGCGTAAAAAAAAGACCGAAGGTGTTAGAACGCGAAAAAGAAGGACAACTTGTACTATGATAAAACAAAGTGTATCAGCCTGCAAAAAAACCACATGAAAAGATATGATAAATTCGAAAAGATTGAAGGAAGATTTAACGGAAGGAAGATTTTCTAAGAAAACAAAAAGTTATTTTCGATAACCGCCTAAAGCGTTTTATGGAGCATTATGAAAACTATTCAACTTGCAGAAGTAGTTCAAAATGATCATAATATAAACGTGGCATCTTAATTTTATTACAACAGTTCATGATGGCATCGTAACGATTTTCAGCAGTATGCGCTTTCGAATAAGTTCCGATATGCAATTTTATGGTAGTGGATTATCGCGTACGATTATTTAATAATCCACGAGGCAATTTTCAGAGTTCGAAATTGTGAGGTCGTTCACACTTTCATATTCTCATATTATATTTAAAAATTTCATGAAAAAGACAACCTTTTCCCCAAATAATTTTCATTCATTTACTTTTATATTTTTTCGGTTATTCTTTTTTTAAAAGAATAAAAAGTAATCTTATGTAAATGTAATTATTTTTTTTAAACTACGAATATTAAAAGAAATAGATTATAAGTTTATAATATTGAAAATTTTGTTAAAATAATATCATGAGACTTATATTTACATGTACTTAACATACACTTACATTCCATGAGCTTGTAAGTGCACCTTATTAACCTTAATACACTTTAAAATCTGGATTTACAAAAGTAAAAATAATTGGCTCTCTTTTAAAACTATCGGAGAATCTTTAATATTAAGTTAAAAAATTCCAAAAATCATATACAGGGTATCCCAAAAGTCCCGGAAAAAGTACCGGTTGAATCTTTCATAAACTATGCATTTTAGAAAGAAATGTTTCATACAAAAGTTGTATGAAACATTGAAGGAAGCCATCAGATGATGGCAATGATTTGACATGGGACAGTCATTTGAAAATCACGTGAAGATCACCGTCAATTTCTTAAATGGAACTCCCTATTTTTTATTAAATATTCTGGTAGCTCACGTCGAGAGCTTTCCAAAACACTATAATTAAGTTAGTTTTCATTAAGTACTTTCCGAATTATGAGGCTTAAAATCATTTCTTAATTTTACATAAACCGTAAAATATCTTGTAAAATATTCATTTTTCTATTATCTTAATACTTTTATGTACAAAATAATGAGAGGAATCAATTGGTGTAAAGAAAACACATAGTTGTTTTAAAAAAAATATGTTGTTAATTGTTAATTGCAAATTACATATTTTTTTCTTAAAAACAACTGTATGTTTTCTTTACACCAATTGATTCCTCTCATTATTTTGTACATAAAAGTATTAAAGTAAGATAATCGAAAAATGAATGTTTTACTAGATATTTTATGGTTTATGCAAAATTAAGAAATGATTTCAAGCCTCATAACTTGAAAAGTACTCAATGAAGAAATACTTTTTTATAGTGTTTTGGAAAGCTTTCGAGATAACGAATATGTAATAAAAAATAGGAAGGTCCATTTAAGAAATTGACGGTGATCTTCACGTGACTTTCAAATGACTCTCCCATGTCAAATCATTGCCACTATCTGATGGCCCCCTTCAAGCCAAACAACTTTTGTCTGAAACATTTCTTTGTAAAGTGCATAATTTATGAAATATTCGACCGGTCCGGGACTTTTGGGACACGCTGTATATAATATAATATATTATATAAATCGCGCTTCTCTCACATTTCATGATAATATATCTTGATCTTTCATCAAAAAAGAGCTGTACTCAGACAAAGTTCGATGAAAATTTTCTCTGCTTTATTACTCACCTTAGTACTGTCATCTGGTGAATACATAGCTCATCGTCAGGTGAACCAGCCAAAGATTAAGGAACGCTCTCGAAACTCCGTTGCCGTCGTGCACGGCGGCTGGCAGTTCACCTGAAATTACATCGGAATTATGATATCTCTCAACTAAAACCTTATTGTTCAATTTATCAAAAGGAGACTAAGCGAGGCCAAGAGTAATCTGTCAATGACAGGTAGTAATTAAAGAGCAAAAAGAAAAATTAATTAAATTTACTTTTCACATTTTTTAATTTCTATTCTACAAATTAAGCTTATAACATACATTTACAACAGAAAAAAATCGATACTTTTATCATATATAAAAAATTCCTTTGAATACATATCTTTCAAATTAAATAAATATATTTATGAAAATACAATTTTAATATTCAAAAATAATGCATTTTTTATATTTGCTAAGAAGTTTGTTTTTTCTTAACTTAATTAGTTTTTTCTTTGGCTCTTATTACGCGGACAAAAATACTTATTGTAATAAAATCGATGAAAAATCGACACATAAATGGTAAAACCGTATTTAAATTCGCAAATCATGGTATTAAATATCCATTAAATAATTTTTTTCACAAAGCCAGTGCATCTCTCGTCGACAAGAATATATTTGTCATCTCATTAATGGTTGTGTTCCATCTATAGGTTTTCCGTCAGATGCAAGTCGCTGCGGGTTGACATATTTTCGTTGCGTCCATTTAATCGTTCTTCGAACAAGTTACATTTTCCAGATAATAGTTAAGGCCTGCGGGTTTTCGTGAAATTAAGCGACTCTTATTAATGGCTCTTACAACGCTCGGCGCTTTACGTATGCGAAATCATAGATATCCGAGATCTCTGCATCAGGATGAAATTAAAATGTCTCCGAGATCAGAGAGTAAAATATTTCTAAGTAATTTTCCACCGACTGTAATTTTCACAAATTTATATTTTAATTGATAATTTAACTTTTAAAAAAAAATCAATTTCTCTAATTAAATAATTTATTTCTAAAACTAAGAACTTATATAATTTGTATATTTAATATGCATTTAATCATTTTGTGATACTTTATCAATCTCTTATGTAATCTTGTTAATTTTTTCTATATCTGAATAAGATGACAGATTTAGCAATATACATTGATAAAAAAATTTCATTCGGTTTAATTAAACTCAGATACTCTTGATTGAAAGAGATTATATTCTTAATTATATTTCATGGACTACACATTAGTATATGATACCGTCCCAAAATTAAAAATAAATACATTGTTAAGTTTCCTATCCATTTGCTACGTTTGCTTAATGACAAAACCTAATTCACCGATTCCATTGGTAAATTGCGCCTTTGTTTTGACAGTAGCGTTTCGAGAACACAGTTTACCACTATTTTTCCATCATGTCGGTATTATTCCGACCTACTGTGTGTGCTTTATTTTCCAATTAAAAGTTTTATTTAATTGGGTAAAATATTTTTATGAACTCTCAACTCGCAAAATAAAAAAAAACTTAATTTTTTCTCGATTCCTTAATACATTAGTTTCTCATTATTCATCATTCACTATGCACTAAACTCATTATTCATTATGCACTTATAAACTACTTTCACAACAATGGAATGCAATATTATTGATTTGCATAAGAAACAAGATCTTTAAAAATAAATTTTACATAGGCATGATCTATTTTTTATATACAATTGCAAATTGAGTAACCAAAAGTCTTGATAAAACACATTAATTCTTGACAAAACAAAACAAACTTTCTCAAAACGTGTATATTGATAAATGATTTTTTTTAAATCATTTCTATTTTAAATCAAGATAATTAATTTTTAATAGTTTTCGAAATTATTTCATTGAAAATGTTACTATATTGATTAATATGCATGCTCATTTTTTCTATTCATCCACTGACCTGCTCTTTAAAAGTGAATCAGTGGAAAATATCACTAATTTAAACAGTAAAATAAGATTTCACTGAGAATCAGTGAGTATTTTACTAATTTTCAGTGGAAACACTTATTTTTTTGTTATTTTATCTTATATTTCACTGACTATGGTCAGTTAAAATAAAATTCACTGTAAAACCAATAATCGCTAGTTCATTTATCGCTACGATCGCTATCTCTCTCGTATTTAGTTTTAGAAAATTATATAAAGTTATATAATTCTCAAAAATTATATAAAGTTTGCAAAGAGCGACAAATAAAATTAAAAATATTACTTCGCTTTAATTTCTGATACAATCTCAATAGAGAGGCTTCAGATATTAAACCGATCTTATAAGTCGGACAAATAAATGTCTGGCGACTTAATGAAAATTATTCGTTCGTTATCTATTTAAAATAACAAGTTCAATATGGATATAATATAAATAAAATACAATTTTTAATATAATAAATATTTAATAAATATAAATAAAATTTTTAATATTATATGAAATAGATAAAGAGATGAATTGTAATTTAATATTACTGACAATAACAAAAGAAATATTACTGATATTGAGAAATATTACTGATTGAAACAATCAAAATTATTAACTGATTCTTTCAATAAAATATCACTGATTTACAGTGCTGTACTTATAACTGCTGTAATCAGTTTACTATTTTTCAATGATAATACGCTGATTCACTTTTAGAGAGTGCATTTCAAAAAAGGCATTGGTCCAAAATCAAGTCATTTGTTTCGCCTAAGAAATTGTTAGAAGATCATCGAGTTTTAATCACAAGGTTGCGTCAAAACTCCCACAGGAATAATACTAATAAATACTTTTCGCTGCCAAGTTTTCTCAAGAATTATTCGCGGTTATCGATCATTCGACCCGTTCCAAGCGTAATATCCCTTCGGCCCGTTCTTCTTTTTCCGTTTGTTGTCGGCATACTCGCCGATAGAAATCGCAGTCCTGGCCATGTTCCAGGATGGCCCTGGAATTTGTCAATTCGTCCCACTCGATCACCACCCCCGCCTACCGACTTACAGCTTCTTCGTTTCTCTCCGCCCTTCGTTCCCACCTCGAATACCACTGTCCCTTCGCCTAACCTACTTGCTCTCTCGATTCTTCACTAAGTCTCAAGTTTTTTAGGTTTCTTCACAACTTATCTAGCATCTATCCTATTCATTTCTTTATTTCTGTTCTCTCTTTCTTGCGTTCAGTCCCACTGCCATTTCTGATTTTCTTCGTTACTGATCTTACTTCGCGCGCGCGCATCTTCCATAGACTATTTTTTTCCTTGCCCAACCGGCACGCCACAGATTTTTCTTCTGGTCGACTCGCAAAAAATTACAGAGATCCTAAGATCTTCTTCACCGCTCTTAATCCAGGCATTCGTTCCATCAGTTCTTTCAAGAGAGACCCGACATTTTTCAATAAAATACCACGGGAGCGCCACGAATCGGCCTTGTTGGGAACGTTCTTCAACGGTTTAATGATTACCAAGGAACTTTCTTGATCACATAAGAGATCCTTTCCTTACTTCGTCGACGGATTTTTAATCTTAGCGTGGGAAAAAGGTTTTGAAGAGCTGGCTAGCTTTTAACTAGAAGCCATCATGAGTTGGTTTCATCTTTTAACGTTATATTGAGATAACGTACTTGAAAAGACGCCTCTTGGCCGTTCGATATTTTAGTGCTTCTATGGTTAAGCATAAAGAATTAAAAGGATATAAGTGGATTAATTACTGTTGATTACATCGTGAAAAACGTGAAATCACTTTGAATTGCTCGAAATAAAAATGAAAAAATTATATGTAATTAATCATTAAATAAAAGAACAAGTTGCTTCTTTAGCCATAATTTGATAAATGAATATATTTTTCTATACTTTTTTATGTATTATATATATGTTATTATGGACATGAAAGCATGAAACAAGTTTAACAACTTTTTCAAAAATTTTAAATATATTATAGTAATATTTTCACTGCAAAAGCAAATAAGTCTATATGGTGACAACTCAAAATATACAGTTGTAGCAATCAAAATGCCACAATTGTCAGTCTATATACCATTGCTCTATTCCTCATTGCTACTTCTATTCATGACCATTGGATACATTTCCTGTATGCGGTCAGGCGTTCGTCAATCCTTCAACGCCAAAGGGACAGAACTTCCTATTAGCCACTTCCTATCCCGCTCGTTCAGTGTTAAGAATTCCAATTCCCGATGTTTGTCCCTTGGTTGACCACAAGTCGGGGTCTTAAGTTTAATCTCCTTATTTGAAATCGAAAGGATTGGATGAGAGAACTAGATATTTTTTTTCAATGTTATAAAATAGGTAAAAAGTCTTAAATACTTTTTGACTATTTTATAACATTGAAAAAAAAAAAAAATATATATATATATATAATTTTAAATTTTCTGCTAATTATACAAGCCTGTAAAAAAAGGGGTCAAAATTTCTTCTTAAGATGCAATAGTGATTTTTGACGTAATTTTGTGCGCTGAATCCGAATCTGGCCGCCGAATTTGCGTAGTACGTCAGGTTTTTGAGTTATATGTAGTCGAATAGCCCAAAAATCGCTATTTTGACCAATTTCATGAATTTATTGTGAGTAAACCAAGTTTTTTGAAATATTTCTATCAATGGCATCGTATAATACTCACTTTCATCTTTCAAATCCACTTTCAATTACCGCTGCACGATATTTTTTCGCTCAGATATACAGACTGATCAGGCATAGGGATTTAATAAGCCATTCTAAATCAACCGTGCCACCTCTCTATCTCACTACGAATCAAAATTAGAGTAAAAATATACATTTTTAAATACCTTCTGTCACCTTTTGAAATTAAAAATGGCGCATCCAATATGGCGAATAGAATCACAATAAAAAGGTATAAAATTTAGAAAAATTTATTAAAATGTGTAACAACTGTATTAGACATTTCTTAACAATATTTTTTTGGCCAACCGAACCTAACATATGTCAGTCTTCAAATTTAAAGATCATGGATCTACCATATTGATGTCTATATAAATTTTCTTTAACGTAAATTTTCTTACAACGTCATACTTATATATCTCAGCGAAAAAAAATCGTGCAGCAGTAATCGAAAGTGGATTAGAAAGGCGAAAGTGAGTATTATATGATGCTAT